TCAGCTAGGGGAGCGATTAGATTCAGAAGCAGTGCTAAAGAATACAACACCCCCCATTCCCCCTCCCACGTCCTTTGCTCCTCTACATGGTGACCCAGAAGCAGGGACCATTTCCAAGACTTGCCTTTCTTTGGTCAGAGAGTCCACCCTCCACCAATAAATGAAGAAATCGTAACCTGAGAGGGGAGATTGGGTGCAGCCCACCTTCTGGGGCTCATGGATTAAATTGCCCTTCCGGGATCCAGAGGAAGCACGGCAGAGCTTGTGACATAGCCAAGTGGGAGGGAACACCTAAGTTTTGCTGCCAGATTCACCTTGGGGTTAAGAAGATCTTCCTTCTGGTTTTGTCTGTCTGCCTGCCTGCCTGCCTGCCTGCCTTTCTATCTGTCTGTCTGTCTGTCTACCTACCTACCTACCTACCTATCTACCTACCTACCTACCTACCTATCTACCTACCTACCTACCTACCTATCTACCTACCTACCTACCTACCTATCTACCTACCTACCTACCTACCTATCTACCTACCTACCTACCTACCTATCTACCTACCTACCTACCTACCTATCTACCTACCTACCTACCTACCTATCTACCTACCTACCTACCTACCTACCGTGGTGCCTCGCTTAACGGGCGCCCCATTTAATGACAAATCCGCATAGCGATGAAGATTTTGCGATCGCTTTTACAACTCGTAAAATGGAAAATTTAAAACCAACAGCAATAACTCTAATAAAAACCAGATGACACCAACTAATCTCCCAGAGTAGATGGAAGAAAAGAGGGAAGTGAAGAGGAGAAGGAGGAGGAGGGGAAAGGAAAAGGAGTTGGGGGGGAGGTGGTCAGCTAAGGTCAGTGTGGAAAGCCTCCCTGAAAAGCCATGTCTTTCATTGCTTCCTGAAAGTCCACAGGGAGGGGGGCTAGGTGGAGCTCCTCTGGAAGCTGGTTCCATAAAGTGGGAGCCACCACGAAGAAACCCCCGCCCTGTTGTAGAGGATTTATGGGCCTCCCTTGGGGGGGGGTCACCTCGACTGGAGCCTCAACTGAGATGATCTTGTGAGTCAGGCAGATGGCAGAGAGTCTCTGACAAGTAACATGGGCCCAAATGGTGGAGGGCTTTGTATGTGAGTGTCAAAACCTTGAACCTGATCCAGGATGCCACAGGTGACCAGAAGGATTAGAATAGACCCCCCCCACCCCCCAAGGAGATCCCTTTCAATTCTATGAAGCAGGTCTTTGCATTTACTCCCCTTTCCTTTCTGATGGCTGCAGGAAGTTGCTTTAAGTTTAGATATAGGGGTTCACATCCCATAGCAAGAAATTTTTGTGTGTGTGATGCAGGATTTGTTCCATAACCTCTTGAATCTGTGTTTCTGCTTCTTGTTTTACTTCTGTCTCTCCAGCTGATGCCTCCTGAGAAAGGAGCAGAAGGGACCTGGGAACCCCTTCCACCTTCTCCTGGATCCATCTCACCAACAGCTCCCAGAGTCTCCACCTGGAAGAGAGTTCTGATGGGAAATGGCTTCCTGATAGCGTTGGACCTAGTATGGCTTTGGGGCCCATTCATGGAGTGGTGGTGGTGGTGGTTTATTTCCTTTGATCAGAAATTTAAAAGGCAGTTGCAAACTTGGAATTGAAACATTAGCCTTTACATTGATCATGGACTCGTCTGTCCCTCTGCCTCTCTCAATTACACACGGAGAGAACTGTTTTGCAGTTGGTGAGCCAGGATCTGGTCTCTCCAGCTGATGCCTCCTGAGAAAGGAGCAGAAGGGACCTGGGAACCCCTTCCACCTTCTCCTGGATCCATCTCACCAACAGCTCCCAGAGTCTCCACCTGGAAGAGAGTTCTGATGGGAAATGGCTTCCTGATAGCGTTGGACCTAGTATGGCTTTGGGTCCCATTCATGGAGTGGGGTGGTGGTGGTTTATTTCCTTTGATCAGAAACACACAGCCCAGAGTTGTGACCTTTCAAGGGCCTGAGGTTGTCCTCTGATCGTTTGTGCTCAGAGTGGTCTGGTGTCCTGGAGCCTTCTGGAAGTGCTGTTTTATGCTGGTAACAGGGTCTGTGCGTTGCACCTATGTGAATGGCTGTTTTTCCCCCCAAAATGGGCTGCGAGTCATCAAGAATCCTGCAGGTCCTTCTGAAGTCGATGCCACAGACATTAGTGACGGGATGTTGACAAACCGCCCAGATGCTCAGGTTGGGTCCGTCTACACCGACGGGTGAATCCTGAGCTGTCAACATTCATCCACCCACTTCTTATGGACCACCCAGATTATGTTGCTTCTGGGATCAACCAGGCACCCTGTTTTCTCCACATTCTGCATGTGCCCAAAGGGATTTTCACTCTTAGGAGATAGAGCACCTTGTCGCTTTTTAATACCCCTCTCTACAGGGCTGGAAATGTGGTTCTTGCACCTTAAATTATGGAGCAGATTTCAATGGGAGCCCATCACTGGCAGGACACTGTGGGATGGAGTCTGGCCAAGGGCCTCGTTTGGGGAGAAGACCCTGCCAGGCATGTCCCACCCCAGTGGGCCAAAAAACAACAACACCTCCTGCCTTTGTCACGGTGGCAGAGAACCCCTCTGGATCCCTGCTTTCTCTTTAACAGCAGAAATGCCTAACATCTTTGAATACTGCAGCAGGAGGAGGAAATGCAAAGGAATGGCTGTTTATTCTATTCATGTGCCACAATAAATCCAGATGCAGCAATGGCTCCTTTTCAAACAAACGACAGGTGTGTCTCCACAGTGCTACACTTCACAATTGCCCAGCAGGGTTGAAAGGGATTCGTTTTTCCACGATTACACAACATACAGCTAATTGTGCACGAGACTGCATTTTTCTAGTGACATTCTTTTCTGTTTTTTAAAAAATATTATTATTACAGTATTATGTTTTACTACTTCTTGCATTGTCGTTTTCTCTTGCCTGGAGTTTGTGATTACCTACCTCGGTCTTTTTAAAAGGCAGTTGCAAACTTGGAATTGAAACATTAGCCTTTACATTGATCATGGACTCGTCTGTCCCTCTGCCTCTCTCAATTACACACGGAGAGAACTGTTTTGCAGTTGGTGAGCCAGGATCTGTCCTGTGGGATATCACCGCTGAAAACCACAGCCTTCCAGTGTGCCTTTAAAACTCAGGTATTGATATTCGGCACGAGCTTCCCTAGGCTGTCGCCAGCCCATTGCTCTGCTCAGGGGGCCTCGCCCGGCCAAACCTTCCCTCTTTCATCATCAGTGGTCCATAGCCTAGACCCCCAATTCCTTTAAAACAGCCATTTTCTATGGAGTCCATATAAGAGCACTGGCACATTTTGAGGGAATGTGAAAGACTGGAAACAACTTTTCACATGGCACCTTTTAAGGTTTCTGAGGTGACTGATTTGGACTGTATTTTCTTCCTATTGTGTTTACAGATGTGGGCACAAAAAGGCTGAAAGTGTCTGCTTTCAAACAAAAACAGACAAGGGGCACAACCCAGGAGTGAAGGACATCAGTTACCATTTTACTCAGAAATAGAAACAGGTACTTTTTATTCCTGTCTCAGAGGTATGAATAAGACTCCTGGCAGCAAAAGTTCTGTGGGGGCTCTATACCCGCCACCCAGAACTGGCTGGGCCCCTCACCAGCCTCCACACGGCACTGGGGTCCTTGGTTGGTGGTGCTGCACTGGTCTTGGCAGGAGCCCAGACAGTTCATCGCCTCCCTGAGCAGCTGACCACTCATCGGCATGGAGGCAGGATGGGGAGTTGATGGGAAGGATGCACTCCAAATTCCTTGTTCATGTTGATTTAAGCTGTCTCAATGTGATGAGATATGCTGATGAAGAAATTTAAAGCCCTAAATTCTTGTCTTCAGCTGTCTGTGAAAACAAAGAAGTCTTATTTTCTCCTTCAAGGTCTCTGAAATATGAGCAAAATGTCTCATAACATTTTGGAAAACAAAGACACACACACACATGTCCATTTTCTAGGCATCATCAAAAAACTAAAGGAAATGCAATGCATGATGGGTTAAAGTAGCATGAATTGTTTGGACATGTCAACAATGAGATAATTTGACCATCTTGGGTTGATAGTATCTTTCCCACTGACGTCTGGTATAACAAACAAACGATTGTAGTAACGCACCAAATGCTGATGTTGCTTTCAGAGCAGAGGCACTTTTGCTGGTGTCCATGAGGCACTCTGCTGCTGTCAGGATAGATGTAGCTACCTAGTCTGTTACAGATTAGAGGAAGGTCTTGGTGTGGGACCCACAAACTACATGGTAAGGCTGGGTTGTCTCTAAAGTGGGGAGAATGGTTTGACACAACCTTGTAACCATGCTATGCCAACTTGCTACATGCAATAAGGGCAAAAGTGAGACTGTGAAAATGGGTCTTTTTTTTCAGGTAGCAAAATGAGCTAGCAAAAGTATCTTGTATTTTCTGATTTTTATGTGGATGAATTTAGATTATCTTGGTCAGATCTGTTTACGAAACTCCCCCCTCCCCCCCAAAAAAGCTGTGCAAAGCCCAGTCAGAGGAAGAGCCCTGCTTGTGAGATCCGAGGGGGTCTCAAGGAAAAGATACCCCCCCACCCCCTTTGCGCCTGGTTTACGCGCTGCGCGGAAAGTTACCCCACCAGAAGGAACGCTTTCTCCATCCACGTCCAGTAAAACCTGCGGGAGCGGTTCTGCCCAGCAACCCTTGATGCCAACGTCAAGCTTTCCTCTCATTGGTCCTTTATATTCCCATCGGCCAATCCCTGAATCCTGAATTCATAAAAGGAACTAGGGCTATCCTAGGTGACCTTGGGGGGGGGGTTGTCGGGCAACCAAATTGGGGAGTCTGGCCTTGTTCCTGGCTACAGCCTGGGTCCTGGGCAGGAGGGCAGCCGCCGCCTCCAAACCCCCCCCCCGGCCAAAAGGGACCCCGCGGGGTTCCTGTGATCTCTCCTCCCTTCTCCGTTCCGAGGGGGAAATGGCTTTTCAGAATGGAGAATTCCGAGATTGGCCGAGGGGGGAAGCCATCCGGCCAATGGAGGGAAAGCCGCGCAGGTGTCGTCAGGGGTTGCCAGGCGGAACAGTCCCAGGCTGCCCCAGGTGGAAAGCGAAAGTTCGGAGGTTCGGAGGCTAGTGCTCCACCTTGCCCCCTTGCCCCGGGGGAAGAGCCGGGCGCGCTCCCGCAGGAGAATGCCGCGGGGTCGCAGGCTCCTGTCTCTCCTCCGTTGGGGGGCGGCTCTCCTGCTGCTGGGGGGCCGCCTCGTTGGACGGGGTGAGTACCCGGACGGGCTAGATTTCCGCCCCCCTCGCCGGTTGGTTTCTTTGGGGCGGGGCAGCCGAACGGGGGTCCTTTGGTGCGCTTCCAGATGCGCCCCTGGAAATCATCTCCTTTTCTTTCTTAACTTGCACCACTAGTGGGGGGGGGGAGCAGCTTGGAAGGCGGTGTGACCAACCATAGACAGATGCAACCCTACTATTTCAGTTTTTTTATTTTTACTTCCCTCGATCAAAGAGATTTCAGTTTGTTGTTCAGCTGAGTTCATAGGTCTCATTAAAGGTGGAAAAGGTTCTGAAATGATTAACAGGAGTGTGTAAACTTGTTAGTTCCACCGTGTCCTGAATGACACCTGTTGGCCTGTAATGAAGGGAGATGACAGTTGCCAAGAACAGATCTGGGTTTTGATATCCAGAGTTGTGGGATGACTCAACTGCCCTGAGAAAGGACCACTTTTATTCATTTTATGTATTTAAAATATTCTTACTCTGCCTTTCTCAAAAAGGGCACCACGCAGCTTACATGCTTGAAAGACAATATTTAAAGCTGAAAACAATGAATATACGAATGTGGTTCACATCATTAAAAGACGGTATATAAAGCTAAGGACAATGGCTATAAAAAGGCAGCTTACATCATTAAAATACAATATTAAAGCTAAAACAAGAAGTATGCAAATACTAAAAAGGAACAAATGCCACTCTGAGAGATGTTAAACACAAGTAGTACTAAAGCCAGAGCAGTAATGCATAAGAATCCATCTGAAAGACACTCATGTAGGCAGTCATGTAGCCAGGCACCCATGCAGGCCTTCACTAAGGGAAAGCTCGCCTGAAGACAAAGATGTTCACCTTCTTGCAGAAGGATAGCAAAGATGGGGCCAGTGGGAGGGAGTTCCACAGTTTAGGAGCAGCGAAAGAGAAGTTCCTCTCCAGTGTCCCCACCGGAGGTGCCTCTGAACGTGGTGGGACCGAGAAAAAGCGCCCCCCCCCCCGATGATCTTAACAACCCAACCAGCTCATAATGGGAGGCGCGGTCTTTGAGATAGCTTGGACCTAAGCCATATAGGACTTTATAGATTAAAACCAGCACTTTTGATTTGTGCCCAGAAATGGATCTGCAGCCAGTGGAGCTGCTGTAACAGGGGAGTTATACGACCCCCGGTAACCAGCCCCAGTCAACAACCTGGCTGCTGCATTTTGGACCCGCTGAAGTTCCCTGATATTTTCCATCGGCAGCCCCACATAGAGCATATTGCAGTAATCCAGCCGATAAGTAATGAGGGTGTGTATCACCGTTGCCAGCCCAGATACATCCAGAAAGGGGTGTCTCTGGCATACTCCCTGACTTTTTCCATCGGCAGCCCCACATAGAGCGTACTGCAGTAATCCAGCCGATAAGTAACGAGGGCGTGTATCACCGTCGCCAGCCCAGATACATCCAGAAAGGGGTGTCTCTGGCATACTAGTTTTAATGGTGCGAATACACTCCTGGCCCCTGCCGAGACCTGGCCATCCAGGTCTCGGAAATGAATCCAAAAACTTTTATAACTTTTCAGCCACAAGTACCTAGTTCCTATTCTAAGGTCCGAGGTTGGCTTGTAGCCAGATGTCAGGTGAGAATGTGGGGTCTGTTTACATGAAGACTAGCTGGCCTCTCCAGATAAGCACTAGGAGTCCTCGTTTCAGTGGGAAAAGGCTCCCTTCTCACCAGAATGAGCCAAGCGTATGGTAATACCAACCTCTTCAGGGGGAGCGTTCTTGAGTCGCACCTGGCTTATAGGTTCCTCTATGTACAGTGTATTTTGAGAGTGACTAAACCAAGCCCCAAATCACAACAATATCCTGAAAAGGTTGAAGAATAAGGCATCTGCCCCCCCCATGCACCCCAGGATAAGTTGCGAGCCGACCCAAACTTGACACTTTTTCCTTCATGAGACGATCCTTTATTTTAGGTGGCGCCTACTCCTGTGTGATGCAAAGCGGTGTGTACCTGCCGGGTTTGGTCTGCTCACCCATGGCCAAATGGCAAAAATGGGTCCCGCAGAAAAACGGAACAATGGTTCAGCCCCCCCCCCATGTATACTCTTCCATCTGGGAATGTGTGTGTTTTGGGGGTGGTGGGGGTGGGAAGAAACACAATGGCTGGAAGGTAACTACAGCCTGCCTTCTGCTCCCTGGATGGAGGGATCAGGCCAGCGTCTTGCGCAGGAGGTGGGGGTGTCCGTGTGCATCAATGGCTTTGCCTTCTAACTCTGCCCCTCGGCCCATTCCAGGTGCTGCTGCTTCACACTCCCTTCGCTATGTCGGCACGGTGCTTCCAGAGGCCATGCACGGGCTGCCCCAGTTCTCACTTTTGGGGTACGTGGACGACGTGGTCATCAGCCGCTACGACAGCAGCACCAGGAAAGAATGGCCGCAAGCCCGTTGGGTAAAGGAGAGCATGGATGCCCACTTTTGGGACACGAAGACTCAGATATCGAAGGGTGATGAGCAGGAATGTGAGATGGCACTGGAAATGTTTCAGAATCACTACAACCGGAGTGAGAGTGAGTCAGAGGTGGAAGAGATACAGAGCTGATCCCCTCCCTCCCTCCCTTTTAGAGCTGAAGAAGCCATTGGAGTAGGAAGAGACATTATATAAAACCTATTATTAGAAGAGGAAAATCCTTAAAAGCTGCCTGCCTTTGAGTGTCACAGCAATAGCATCTCTTTGGGAATTTGCTTAGTTCTGTGGTGAATCTTCAAGAATAGAGATGGGCACAAATTGATTCATGGTGCTTCATATGAAGCTCGTCATATGGCACAACAAGTGCTGCTCATTTCCTTACCCTGCCACCCCCAGCTGGCTGGCCCACTCACTCACAATCCATCACACACCATGCAGGTCCTCCTTCTCTGCTGGCAGGCCAGTCTGGGCAGGAGCCTGG